TATTATGAATGTGAGCATGTACTTTTGTGAAAGATCTGTTACATTTATTCAAAGGTCAAATGAAAAAGGGGTCAAAAATCTATGTCCTGTTCCATTAGTCATCTTTAAACTGGAGTTTTATTTTCATATTTGGAAAAAAAAAACGTGCAATATACAAGATGTTTTCAGTTGTACCTCGATTTTCTTATTTGTTATCATTCCACAACTTCCTGTACATGTTTGTATGATAATAGACTTATTCCATGAATGATAAATCTGAGAGAAAATAATATAGAGATTATAGACTTGTGTAAAATCATGAACATGTAATAACAATTGGCCATGATTGCACATGTTAGCCATTATCTAGTGTTATATAGTATATGTTGATGTTCAAAGATATCAGTCTAAGAGATCTTCCGTTATATAGATGTTAGCTGAGATAGACTGGGTTAGTGCCAACACGAGATCTTAATACAAAAACTTTAAAACACCAGACCTCCCGCAACTTTCATGCTATTTTACCAATAGTCAAACCATTCGTTCCCAAATACTAATTCGATATCCAAGCCTATGTTTTTCACTGAGAAGACTGTATGCGAATATTTTGGAATCATTTGGGAATTAAAATCGTAATTTGCCAACTGCATTGTTCTTCTCATTAAATTAGATGTTCTGTATGGATAAATAATTGACAGCTAAGCAATTCCAATGGAGTTTGGGGTTTTAAAACTACAAACATCAACATAAAAAACGCATAGGTTCAGCTTTTTACATTTTTTTCAGTTCTGTTAGACGGACCATATAGATGAATGTATGCGGGTTTCAAAAGCAAAAATATAAAAAAGTTAAAAAAACAAACAAAACAAACAACAACAAACAAACAAAAAACAAGACTGCTAAGATTCAAGCTTGAAATTTATAATGAAATCTCGTCTGCTGCATGATGATCTTTATGTATCAATAATCTGGGGGGAAATATTACTTTTAATAAGATGAGAGTAAAATTTATTTCACAACAAGCTTTATTTGTCATCCAATATTTAACATCTAGTTTAAAGAAGTAAAAAAACGACTTCGTGAAATGTCAAACCATTTATTACTATTATTGTCGTGATATTATCATTCCTTTGAGAAAAGGCGGGTCTGCTAATTTCAGACAAGGCATGGAAAAGCAAATGCAGTCTGAAAAACGAGTCATTTGATTTCTTTTACATATACATATATATTTATATAAACCTGCATATTTTGCATTACAACTTGCAAAATCATTTTCGTCTAAACAAATAATATGATACTCGCATTTTGTGTCTGATGACCTTTTTAAATTATTCCCGATGTGTTTGAGGAATGTTGACCGTTCTAAACAAATCAATGTGTAACCTCTCTAAGTCAGTCCTTGTATGTGTGATAACCTCTGTAAATCAATCCCCAGGTATCTGATAACCTCTCTTAATCAATCCCTCTATGCCTCATAACTTCTCTAAATCAGTCCTTGTGTGTCTGACAATCTTTATAAATCAGTCGTTATGTGTCTGATTACCTCTCTAAATCAGTCCTTATGTGTCTTTTTTACCTCTCTATATCAGTCCTTGTATGTCTGATTACCTCTCCAAATCAGTCTTTAAGTGTCTTGTTCCTCTCTAAATCAGTCCTTATGTGTCTGGTTACCTCTCTTAATCAGTCCCTTGTATGTCTGATTACCTCTCCAAATCAGTCTTTAAGTGTCTTGTTCATCTCTAAATCAGTCCTTATGTGTCTGGTTACCTCTCTTAATCAGTCCTTGTATGTCTGATTACCTCTATAAATCAGTCCTTATGTATCTGACAACACCCTTTAACATTTATCTCTGCATGCTTCCGTTATAACAAAATAAATTTGATATAAAATGAAATGAAATGAGAAAATTAAAAATAATTGCGAGAGTTACAAAATAATACCCGTTCCAATATCCAGCTATGTTAGTGGCCATAGTATAAATTTCCGCTTCTTTCGTGGGAGAAGAAAGTAACAGCCAAAAGTTAAAAAGTCGACAGTACCGGACTATCTTTATATTGTTTTAGAAAATAGTTTAATCAAGTCAGCATAGGTGATTAATTGAAGTTATTTACTGCTCGTGATTTTACATCATGTTCAGAGAATAGTGATAACTCAATAATTGTACATGGTGACCTCTTTCTGCAGTTATTGGCATCAATTATTCATATGACTGGTCGATTTTATGGTGTACACCCTGGCAAAAAGTTTTATCATATACAACACATTCTCCGGCGTTGTTTCCCTGCTTTACTAATAACATGTTTGATTTATGTGTCTGAAGTCAATTATTTGTTTCTCTGTCATATATGTGTAGATATGGGAAAGTTATGTCAAAAGCAAGTTCGCAATAATTACTTGAAATTCCTAGCTCATCGGTGTGTAACATGGTTCGAAGTACATTGTATTTAATAAAAAACCATATTAACATAAAAATATACACTGCAAAATTATCTCAATGGTTAATACTTGGTGTAGTAAATCTATATAAAAATCATCAAATTGACTTTAGCAAATTGATCCACATGTATACACATTTAACATTGAAATGAATTATTTCATTTTATTCGTTAATTGTTTGAGTTGTTTTTGAATTTCGTGAACTATTTTTTGCCATTAAAGAGAAGTATACTGTTCCTTTATTTTCATTTGAAAATCTTAATTATATGTTAATTTATACTTGAAGTTATTACAAAGCATGTTACCATTCATACATAAAGTTATTTTATCTACTTTATAATCCCGTCCTGTAACTCACAACGTCTTGTCACGTCTTGTCATATGACCATGGCCCGAGTAGGACTCGAACCCAGGACCCCTAGACAGAGAGGCAGAAGTCTTGGAACCACTAGAGGCAACCGCTCCATTCCGTGTTAATTTGACTGACACGTTTATGTGAAGTTGATGATGGAAAAAACTGACAATAACCGGATATCTAGGAAAACTTTTCAGGTAAATCTTGCCCATTTTTCGTTACCTTGGACTTAAAACATTTTGTTTCAGTCCAAAAATCTTCGGTTTTGATATTCAAAAACATGTATGATAATAATCAGATGATCCACAGTAGAGATGCGCGGTACATGTGTACTACAAAAAAAACAGCGCACGTGCTGTGCATTGATAATTTACTGATCAGCTTAAGCGATCTATATTATACAAACGATCGATCGTTTCCTCTCTATCAATAAATCATAACCCAGGTACAGTGCAACTAAATTTGTCACGTGTTTCTGTTCTTGTTGAAATGAGAAGCTGCACAAGTTTAATGTGCTGTTTATAACATCGTATTTATATATTTATATTACGTTCATTTTAAAGCATTAAAGCATTTAGTTCATGACTGCATGCATTAAAGAAGTAAAAGTATGTCATGATAATGATCATTTGTGTGATGTTTTTTCCAGAGATTGACGATATATTGAAGATGACTTATGGTTAAAAAGCCATACATTTACGATTTCTAAAAATATAACACACTCATACATATAATGATAGGTGACAAAATAGACAATGTCCGAATGAATTTGAGTTGAAAACCAATTATGCTACAATGAGCGTTAAAAAGGTTTCCATTAAAAAAAATAACTTACATACAAATGTATATACATGTATAATAAATTGTTCTATCGTTTTAAAACGAAAACGAAATTCTAGTATGTAAAAGATCGCTTATTTTCATCCAGAGTTAAGTATATTTTAGTTTCACTGAGTAATTTTGAGAAAAAAATGTCGAACCTGTCTCTGATGACCAGACTTGGAAATATATCCCCTCCCTACAAGATATCTAGCACCAAAATGTTTCAGTGATGTTAATTAATGAAAGGTCCGAGCTTAGATATGTATTCAATCGGGAAAACAAATTTATGTACATGTATCGACATTTAATCGTTTTGGAACAAAAATGGATGGGTTTTTTTGCCAAGAATACCAACAATTCTGTACATATTAAAGCAGACGAAGTTAAATGTTTCATTAATTGTACTTTATATATATTAAAAAAGCACACACACGGATTCGATTAATGAATGAAGTTGTTTTCTACCATCCGTCACTGGATAGCTATATATTAGATTTTTTCGCAACAGATGGGCTTACAGTATACTTATATTTACATTTATAGTATAAAATAAACTGAAATAAACTGTGACCACGATACACGTTTTACAATAATTCTCTTCAGACTGTATCATTGTTAATATTGTTTATGATCTTCAACTATAGGAAGTATTTTTTTAAAAAGAATATCTACTTTAGGTAACATTGTTATGTAATCATGTCATCGTATACTCTGTGTAAGACAATAGATAGCATATCTTACATTTAATGTCATACAATTAATTCACATATAATATTTAAACAATATGTCAGCTAATATGTAAATCAACAGTGGATCTTCCCTTACTTTTCCCCTGTCGTGACATTAAAGCAACTTGTCAACAAGTCTGTAACACCAAAACACTTAGAAGTTATCGCGTGGATTCTACAATATTGATTTGTGTACCTAGAAACTTGTCGTCTGCTGCATTGAATCAATATCTCCTCAGCTATGCCATTATATACAAAAGAGAACAGCCATCATTTATTGTGTCCAAATACAATATGAAAGATAGAGGGAGAGAGAAATATCGTGTCCATGATGTAGGTGTCCGTATAACTTCCAGCTTTATACCAGGCTATCCACATTATAATTTAGATATATCTGGTAACGGTAGCTACATTAACATATTAAAAGGCATCGCGAGTTGACAAATGGATTGTAATGTAACACTTTTGACACATGTACAGCTAAATTTTGTTAATGAGATACTGAATTTTGACAGTTTTTAGCAATATGAAATATTATAAAAGTATGCGACAACATATAACACAGAATGGGTTTGTAATAAAAAAGGTATGGAGAAAAATGTTTTTAGAATGTGCAAAGATTATTATAAAAAGAACAACACATTTCTAACATGTATATAATAAGATATAAAAACACATACCTCCGTCAGCGTAGGTTTCACATCCGTATCCGTCCTGAAGGCCGGTTGTCCAGGTGCCCTCATACCGTGCCCCTGACGAAGTACTCTGTCGCACACCATAACGGCCCTTAAATCCCTGTGTCCATTCACCTTTATAAACCCAGCGACCCTTAGTCTCTACTCCTAACCCATGCCGTTTTCCTTGAAACCATTGACCTCGATAAGTGTTGCCACTAGGCCATGTGTAAACGCCTGAGATTTCAAATCCAAACTGCCACGCCCCAGAGTATTCCCCTTGACCCTTCGGACCCGTGCATACTCCATGCCCGTGGGCCTTTCCCTCTTCCCATCCACCACAGTACGTCCCTCCGTCATCAAAATCGAAGCGACCACCGCCCTGCGTCATCTGGTCAAGGTCAAGGTCACTCTAAAATAAACACCAAACCCGAATCCCAGGCCTTCCTAACTCTTAATCCAATAAAACGCATCGGAACGTGAGGATTATAGGAGGAAAAATGGAAATAACAAAACAAAAACAGTGTAAAAATACTTAATTAATAATCCGTCGTGAAAAACTAAGTGTATGAGTATCCAGTTAAATATTCCGATATTTTGAAATAAATGTATCCTTGTATAACACGGAGTTATATTTTACTTCCGAAAAATATTGTTGTCATAATTTAGTGGTGTAATCCATTTAAAACTGACGACGAGCGGCATACAACATTAACTTTCATATATAAATAAATCTCACTGAGGTATATTTGAGCGAAACACTACATTTCCAATTTATTTCCTCAGTAAGCGAGACTGCTCACTCGCACGGCGCCGATATCCACCTAGCGGCCCTTTATCCAAGGATTTTACGGCCCCTGGGTAGGGGTAAACCTATTAAATCAATACATTGGAAGGGTTCGGCGACAGAGTACATATTCCACGTGAAAAATGACAACACACCGCTACGAAAAAGTTCCCTTCAGAACGAATAAATTATGCGAAAGTCTCAGCCATGCGTCTATGCCACTCTGTTCTTGAGTTGCATAGGCGCCTGCCTTCCATATAAGGCTGGCGGTTTCTATTGGGTATCCAGCACTTCTACAGAGAATAATACAGCTGAAACATCAAAGTAGAATACATTAAGTGATGAGCACTGAACGTAGTACTGATATATCTTAGGTCATTATAATCCTTTTGTTATTAGCTCATAGTTATAACTCTCACTTTATTGACGGATAACGCGTTCAGTAGAAAAAAACAACAACTACACCGGTTCTCTCATATTGAAATCTCCATCAATTCACGCGAATGTTATGTTCAGTATAGTTCAATATCTACGCGTTTACTGCGAGTCGATCGGAAAATTCAGCTCAGGCACATGGGAAAATATCGCTCTAATCAGACGTCGCTCTAGATTTCATTTGCATTGATTCTACACTAGATAACACTTTTGTTCAGTATGTATAGATGAATAATTGATTACTTATTCAAATAGTGCTGTTCTGACCAACAATCATTCCGTCAAATATCAACAAGGTATCTTTCAAGTTTTTCCTAATTTTCTTGGAAAAAAGGGCTTGAAAATACTATTACCTTAAATTCTTTGAATACTAATGATTCATTTTTCAAGCTTCTGATGTTAATGTTATTATTTAACAAGGAGCGGTGTTTAAATATTTATCTTAATTGCATAGTGTACGCTACAATGGTGGCTCATTGGATGTTTTTCATTGATACATTTAATTCCAGGCACACAAATATATGCGTAATATTTAAGTTTAAGCCAATGTTACAGTTTTAAAAAAGCTTTAATTTCAAATGTTAAAATTATTTTAAACCATTTAACAGTTAAATTAGTTTAGTTTTTATCAATTATTTCCAAAATCTCATAATGTGCGTATTGTAAGTACACTGTACTGTACGAGAAACACTTAATGTAAACTTAAAGAAAATGTTTGAAACTATAAAATTAATGTTATAAAATTAATTTTAAAAAATGATCATGTCACACTCCACTTCATTGCGATGTCAAAAATTTAGTTGATTTTTGCTTTTTGAATAAATTATGATCTTTTATTTATCATAATGTAAATGTTAAATATTTTTATTTCGTTTAAAAAAGGTGTCTATGAATATGTTTATTAAAACCTATCATGTTCAAGGGTTGTCGTGTATGGTGATAAAAGTAATCTGAACAAGCACATAGTCATGTATGCTCGAACCTGACTCGGGGTACTGCTATGAGCCTTTCATATAATGGCCTGTTATATACATGTTTATAAAATGAAGATGATCAGATTCAGTTTGAAAATGGGTGATTTTGTAACCAGAAGTAATATTATAACATCGTCATAATTCTCTTAACAATACATAATGTTTTCTCAAGAGTGCAATTAAGTTCCATAATTTGGCCTTTAACCAAATGTTTTATCATTAACATACGTCCGATGGGGGTTAAACATATATGACATCCTAGGTCATGTATCGGTAATTCGTAGGTAATTCGTAGGTAATTCGTTGATATTTATTCATAGATCCTTAATCCGGTACAGCATCAATTAATCTCCGTAATTAAACACCGTTATCAAACTCGTCATTAGAATCGATTTCATTCGATTTGGGATGGAAAAAAAATATTACAGAGTGATCTTTCTGTCCCAGCTGAGAATGTATAGTGAGACAATGCTTGTTAATGAAAGCAAAAAAAAAGTAATAATCACAGAGTTCTAAAGGTATGTTATATAGTTAACGAGTCGGCGTCCTGGGATTAATCAAGAACAAAGTATGCCGACGACTTAGTTGCAATAATGATGTATATAATGGAACGGTAATGAAAACAATCCAATCTTCATGCACGTTATCACAGGGTACAAGAAAAAACATCAATACAAATAATATTACCTCGATTTATTGCATGCACATAGATAAAGGACTTTATTATACATCGTAATTTTCCATGTAAGTTATGTTATGTGTAAATGTGCTAATATGTTTCATCAGTCTTAGAGAAACACGATTAGATATTTGTTAACGTTAGTTTTGTCGATATAATAATTTTTCTACAGGGTTTTATTATCATTTACACTGAAAATATTTGAGCCGCGTCACGACAAAACCAACATAAAGGGTTTGCGACCAGCATGGATCCAGACCAGCCTGCGTATCCGCGCAGTCTGATCAGGATCCATGTTGTTCGCTTACAAACACTATTACAAGTAGAGAAACTGATAGCGAACAGCATGGATCCTGATCAGACTGCGCGGATGCGCAGGCTGGTCTGGTTCCATGCTGGTCGCAAACCAATTATGTTGGTTTTGTCGTGACGCGGCTCATTTCTTATACAGAACAAGAGTATCGCTTTAGGCGATGGATGGTCGAACGTGTACATATGTCAGTGGATTTCAATGCATATCTGTCAAGGCAGTAAGAGCACAAATGTTAAACAAATCTATCTAATTTATGAACCCGTGACCTTAGCCCCAAATAAACCAGTTAGAGGAATACCCAAGGTATCTACCTTCCAAAATAGGAAAGACATCAGTCAATAAAAAGGCTGCATAAGCAAAAGTGTAAAAGTGTAAGCCTCCTAACCTTGACCCAGTTAACAAGTTCCAAGGCCCAGTTACACAAGTTATTTACCTACCAAATAATGAAAGACGCCAGTCAATGAATAAGCGCAGTTTATGCAAACGTACAAAGTTGACCTTGACCTTAGTTTCCCTTTATCCACCTAAAACATGTACAGTTAGAGGACGAACCATCCACCTACCTTATTTGAAAAACATCAGTCAATGGACAAAAGCTGAATGAGCAAAGATGCAAATAAAATCTATTTTTAGCATCAGAGACCTTGACTCAAATAACCCATTAACCCCATCATAACCAAAGTTTAATAAAAGACCACCCAAGGTATATGCCTATCAAATATGAAAGACAGAAGTCAATGAATAATGGATGTATTAGCAAAAGTGTACAGCATATGTAAGTTTCAAGAAGGGGGATAATTGTCATTTAAGAAGTTATACTCCAGACAAGAATTTTTAAACATTTCAAGCATTATATGAAAGAGATAATTCAAAATCAAGCTATTAGGTAGAATTATGTTTCTTGGGCACTGCTCTTCTCTGTCATTGTGTGAAGCTTTAATACCTCTCCGGATAAGGCAATATTAAATATTATTAAAGGAGAAAATCCAGAAACTATAAGTACTTAATGAAGAGTTATAGTTCTTTAACACCGCACTTCCTCTCACTATTCTTTATAAAAATGTGTAAAGTTTCAATGAGATATCAGTTATTTCGAAAACCATAAGTATAATAAAGGGAAATAATTCAATAATTGTAGAATTATGGTTCTTTGACACTGCACATCCTATTACTATATGAGCCGCGTCACGACAAAACCAACGTAATGCGTTTGCGACCAGCATGGATCCAGACCAGCCTGCGCCTCCGCGCAGTCTGACCAGGATCAATGCTGTTCGCTTACCAACTCTATTACAAGTAGAGAAACTGATAGCGAACAGCATGGATCCTGATCAGACTGCGCGGATGCGCAGGCTGGTCTGGATCCATGCTGGTCGCAAACGCATTACGTTGGTTTTGTCGTGACACGGCTCATATTTTTTTGTAATTTCTCCCGCTAATCTCTGCGGACATGCTTTATAAAGCATCATTAAAGGAAATAATTGAAAAAACTTTGTAACGTCGTCCGGTAAGCTCTATAGGTAGAGCGTTGAACTGTGAAACGGGTGACCTGGTTTCGATTCCCGGACGGTGCATGTCACTTTCATTGTGATTGATTATGAAATTATAGTTCTTTGGAAATGCACATCCTCTTAATATATTTTATAACCTGTGAAGTTTCCATGAAATAATTATTAGTTTAACTTCGGACAAGCATTACTAACCTTAGAAAAATATTATTTTTTTTTAAATCAGTAGGTAGAAATATTTTTTTGGAAACACGTCTCCTCAGGTGAAGTTTTAATCAAATACTTCAATCAATTATACTTTCAAGCTATTCTCGACTGAATGGAGGGACAGAAGGGCCTATTTATGAGCCTTTTCTTTGATCTTTTTGTGGCATTTTTCCGCATAAACCAATAAAATGTATCCTTCTTAGTTCATAAATCATTGGATTTATGAATGGAGGGACGCACAGAAGGACGGACAAGACGGCGACTAAATACTCTCTATTTTGGAATCATAACAAAACACAAAAATTTTATTATAACTGTTGTAAGAATCTCTGTACCCTTGCAGTATTTGGTAGGCAAGTCAATGTTTGTTGGCCATATTCAACCTTAACCAATGCCCCCCACCCCCTTACCAATCAACAACACAGACGCTTGGGGGTCAGATCCTGCCCCCCCCCCCCCAACGTGATACGCCCCTATAAACACTCTATCAAAACAAATTTAATATTTAAACACGAATGGGACATCTATTACAACGATAAAAATGGTTTTCAAACATTTTTTACATACATAAAAAATACCGTATACCATCAAGTTTAATTTATTGAGACTTGATGGTATACGGTATTTTTTCATATATGTAAAAATTGTTTGAAAACCATTTTTATCGTTGTAATAAATGTCCCATTCGTGTTTAAATATTTAGAGTGTTTACAGGAGCGTATCACGTTATTTCTACAAATTAAAACAATTAGTCTTTCCGGTAAACATATTTTATTTCTTTATCAGGAACTTATTTTCATATACAATATCAATATTTAATATAAGGGTATAATTTATGTTGAGTAAGAAATATATACATCAAAGTAACTGAGATAACCACGTTTGGGTTTAAACTTAAATTGTTGAAAATCCGCTACAGTATTGTCTCCCTTTGGTCAAAATGGCCGTTTTTATTTGTGAACTCTTTGAAAACTTTAAGATAATGTACTAAAAAATAATGTTAGTTTTTACAATTATGTAGACAATTAACTAAAATGTTTCAAAGACATTTAACTTGATAAATAAGTCGGGTATCTGTGTCTGTTCAATATGAGATCTCTTAATATATGAAAAGAAAATCTTTCTTTAAAAAATTGATAAGTGATATACACATTTTTAATCATTTCTGCAGTGAAGTTCAGCACATATTGGTGTACTTTGTTCATACAGAAAGCCAAAAAATAGCGAAAACTGTTGAATTTCTAAACATGTTTGCATGTTAGATAATAAGAACCATTTGTTCTGATGGAGAAATTATGAAACAACGCGGCTTATTTCCCGGCAAACTTCTTGCATATGTTTATGCAGGTAGCGTTTCTGTGCGAACGTGCGACCACACTTGTCACACCTGTGATCTTTCTTCGTCACGTTATGAATCATCATGTGAGAACGGAGGTTAGATTTATCAGCAAAACTCTTGTTGCAACCTTTCTGATCACAGGCAAACGGCTTCTCCCCAGTATGCGTGCGCAGATGACCTTTCAGAAGCCACGACCTACTAAATATTTTGCCGCACAAGAAACATGTACTCTTTGCCTTCATGTGGGATCTTAAATGGGTCATATAACCGGACATAAATGTGAAACACTTTTCACACTCAGTACATTTGATAACCTTACGTCCATTTATATCATCAATAAACTTAACTTTAAGTTGTGCATCTCTCAATTTCAATATTTTTGTTTCATATTCCTGGTCTGTACTGCCTTGGGAAACCTGCAGTAAAGGAGCGTTATCAATGTCGCAAAAAGTGTCGCTACAGACAGAAGATGAAGTGTCATCGCTGTCAAAATCACTGTTGACATTATCGCTTCCTGTGATACAGTGTACAGCTTCTTCCCCGTTTGTTCCAGTCTTCCTTTCATACTTACTGATCTTTCCGTTTATATCATTTTTGTGGAGGCTATAACTTTTTACTGTTTCCGGTAATCTATTTTTGGCAAAATAACTTGATAGGGGACAGCTGCTACTTTCCTTCGAACTCGATCCTTTATCTTTACGGCTTAACAACCATTTCTCTTTCGTTGCTAGGATTTCACAAGCACTCATGGTTCTGTTATTGTTCATGTTTTCTGCCATGTTTAAAATAAAATCATCTAAGGCGTTGTCATCTTCGTCAGATTCGTCAGTATCGTCGTCATCATCAAATTTAAAAACCTCTGTGCATGAATATGTGTCAATGTGGTGGAGCGATTCTTTGTGATTTATTCCGGGAAGGTCGAGCTCTGGGATCTTTTGACAGAGATGAAACCTGGTAACAACTGACATATGATTCAGTGATTTGTGTTTCCGGTGGTGGTGCCTCTTTGTTCCGCCGTTTTCTATTTTCTGAGACGTCTGCGGTTGAGAGTTTGAGCTTGGTTTAGAGTCTGATGAAACTTTCTTGATGGATAATCCGGATCGTGTTGTCATCACATTTTTGTTATATTCTGAAATTATTCAAAGATTAACATAAGCATTTTCAAGATGAATAAGCATGAAGTTAAATTTATTGTTAAATATATCTGAAATAAGGGTGATTTCCGTAAAAGATATTAAACAACATGGTAGCGCACTTGTTTTCACCTTTAGATCAAGTCGGAATTGCTTAGCATTCATTTTTAAATCGTCTTGGGAGCAAATATTCTTTTTCACAAGGACCAACTTTATATAGACAGCAAATAATGCTTCTCCTGTTTTCTTTTTCTTTTTTAAAGGTGTTTGTTCCACGTAATATAATTTTGCTAAACATCCGTATGTAAATATTGCAGATAATTTTATGAAAAAAATACTGGGATGGAATAAACCTGAGTTTATGGTTTTTAGAAATTGGGTACCGCTTAGTAATACAATTTTAAGGCTAGACCTGGTTACAAATATATTGGACTTTGATACCAAGGTTATCGTGAAGTTCAGCACAGAATAAATAATGTGCACAAGCACAACGTCCAATGCTTCCTATCTCCATATTTAAGAAGTCATATGGTTATTTTCCGAAAAAATAAACTTTTCGCTCAATTCAATAGTATGGTTACACCTATTCTAGATGCAAGTAATCTCATATATTAGGATATAATAATAAAATATCATGATGATAATACATGTAATATCTTTATTCAAAGAAGGTATCACATAAAAATACGCATGAAAATACACCATCGTAAACACAAATAACATATATATGTTAATGTTGAGATAATTATGTCTTGTCATCACTTTTTTGGTTATATTTTGAAATTATTCATACTTAACATTCATATATTTGTGTAAATGTTGACTACTATACAGGCCGCTCTCCGCTAACGGAGGTAATAAAGACTCTATTTATTATTCTGACCATGACATAGTATTGAAACTGTCATTAAAATAATTAATACGTGGTTTGCTGGACAAAATTAAATTTCTGCGAGATATTGATATTAGATTATAAGATATGGTTACTAGGTCTCGGATATATTGAGAGGACATATTGTTTAATTCTTTATATACTTGGACACCAATGTGAAATATAATAATTTGTTCATACAAGAGACTTGTGATTAAAACCACATATCGGGACCTCACTTTACTCGTTGTTGTTGATAATAATAATAATAATAATAATAATAATAATAATAATAATAATAATAATAATAATAATTATAATAATAACAACAAGAGCCATGTCAACATGGCCATCCCACGCCGAATGTGTATGCTCATTGGAAGAATGTATATGTAGTAGAGCAGAATAATTCAATATTAAGAGGTCTTTTGGTAGGCTGTAGTGATTACAGATTTGAAACCTGTGTGAATACTTATATTAAAATCACACATGTATATACATATTGCAAGGCAAATACATCTTTTTTGCTGTAAAACAGGTGAGGAAAGGTGCACATTTTAAAAAGGCAGAAATCTTCTGAAAATTTTCACAGAATAATTATATGGAAATATTTTCTTAAAAAAGAAAAGAAATGGAAATCATAATGATTATCGACGAGGCAATAGAATTCTTATTGCAAGGCATCCCTCATCACAAGGTTTAGACATCTACAAATGGGGACAAAGGGTAACTATCACATATGCACATATCAATACAGGCTTTCCAGCAGCATGCTAGGAAATAAACTATGAGGAAACCAGGATGTTTTAATGATCACAGGTAGAATTATTGTAACCATGAAGACATATTTTTTAGGGTACTGCATGCACAGTATAATTCTTCCTACTCTGTTTATAAAAGCAATACAGTAAGTTTATAAATTAGGAAGAATTTTTACCCTGCATGGCCCTTTCAAATATTAAGGAAATGCCTTTTATAAACTGACAAAATTTCAAATAAAATTACCCAAATACTGCAGTACAGTAGCCCTATTGCTACATCAATGTCGTTTGCATTACTGTATTCACAAACTTCTGTGTTCAGGGTTGCTGATGTTTCTTTTCTCTCAATTTCATTTTTCTATTCATTTATTTTTCAATTATTTTTTTTTAATTTATTTATTATTTTTATTTTATTGTTTTATTTTTTGTTGCTAATTTTGATGATCGAACTTATATTGATCCACAAAAAGTACGTTTTTTCCAATCTTATGAAGAAATTCCTAATTAAAAAAAAATAATTAAAAATAATCGTCTTTTCCTCCCTTCATCTTTATTTCAAAATGCCACAGCAGAATGTATTATTAGGCTTACTGTGTATTCCAAATTTTGAAATGTAGACTTATTCAAGAGATCTGTATGTTCCAAATATTGAAATGTAGACTTATTCAAGAGAAATATACTGTATTTTTGGAGTTGAACTAACTTGAAGGAGCCAAATATTTGATTTCTGTACTTTATTTGATAGATCTACATGTAACACAGCGCAAGTTTTCCAAATTTTAAAATCTAAATCTAAAATGAATAAAAAATTTCCAATTCTGAGACCCTTGTCATGTTCCCAAAATCCTGAGAAAAACTAGATCAATTTCTTTCTACTATATATAACGGGCACTTGTTCAAATATAAACCGGAAGTTAATGTTAAAATAGAGTATTTTTTATATTTACCGTTTCCTCCGCTGTAACTTCCTTCCCTGTAATCTCTGACACTGAATAGAAAACTTTTCGGCATATTGAGATAATAAGCCGACCTAGTTTGCTTCTAAAACAGTCCTTTCTTTTGATTTTTTTTTTCAGGCTGAATTGAATTGTTCGTTAACGATAGCACTTGTTTTGACATACAGATTCTCGCGGCATAATTCGTCACATAGTTATGACGTCATCAAATACAACGGTCTTGATAATTTAAGCTCTAATACGAAGCAGGGTTAAATCTCTTGTAAAACATTTTTAAGTTACTAAAAGATTCACTCTAACTACAAGTTTTTCTGTAAGAATAAAGATACGTAAAGATCTAACCATATAATATTTATAAAAATTTTGCAATCATGCCGTTTCATGAGTCAAATGAGTAATCACGAGAAAGCCATCTCGCCTTAATTTCCACCTAGGTAACGTGATGGTAGTGGTGATGGACTGGTAAAACGATGCAGTAAAAATGTCCGCTTTTTGAAAAAAAAGAACGTTTAGATCTATACCTATGACAGTTTTATAGAGAATGTTTGACCAATAATTAGGAAACCTAGATCAGTTTTTGTAATGGATAATGCTTAGAACGCGACTAGGGATCAAGTGACAACTGTGTGTGTTTTTGAAATATTGTAGTATATTAGAGTCCCTAATCTAGATCTCTCAAATTATTCAAATTTCAGCTCGGGATCACGAAAGATACATATTTTAAAAAAAAGCAAAGAAGGAAGAGAGAATTTTCTTAAAGCTACATGCCTCCAGATAAGTCAAAATAGTTCAATAAGATCAAACTTAAAAAAAATGTATAAAAATGAAAGGAAAAGTAAGAAGTTTCAAGATTCAAGTAATACTTAACAGTATATCAAGTGCGATTAATGACTGATTTTTCGGTATTTACAACTATATTTCTACTGAGTTGCTAACGCAGTAAGGGCTATTAATGCATATTTTGACCACTGTTAGATATTTACGTGGTTTGTAAGTGTCAATCATGATTATGTCACAGTATATGTTAGAATTATATCTAAGGCAATGCTGTAAATAGGCCTAATGTTACTATAAGAAACATGCTTATATGATATATTTGGAAAATATGACAGCAAATATAACACCTGTTGTATAACATTAAAGTTTCCTTAATTTTTCACCCTGTACTTCTTTTCGACATGTGCAGTCTTAAAAAATTTCCTCTTTTTACTTGTTATTAATGTTATGTTATCATAAAATGTTTTCTTTTTTTATCATTTCATGTAAATATTTGTAATTTTATATGTATATATGTTATGCTCTTCAAATATTGGAGGAAATAAAAGAATATATAAAAGAATATATGTAAATTGCGTCCTTTTGGTTACTTCACAATATTACACATTCAAAAAACATTTCCAAACTTTTCATGAAAATAAGCATGAATCTGGAGCGAGGCATGGTGCTTTAAATTTTTCATGAATTTTTAAAGAGAAATATGGATCTATAATTGAAATAAGTTAATGAACAGAATTAGGGTCAACTTCGTTCTTGCTCTCTTGAAAGAGCAGCTAAAAAATCCATGGCTTTATTTCAAAATTGTGTTTGCTACTTTATTACCTTTGATGGTACATACAAGATTTGCTGAAATTCTATGTGACATATTTCATTATATTGTAGCTTATGCGAAATGATTTTCTTCGAGTTATGCTATGCCCATTTTGGGAGAAAAAAATCAGCAGATGAATCATAGCAGAAAAATCTTTTACACATAATTTTTCTAAACTTTGCAAAACATTTTGACTGAATATGAAGGAACAAAAATAATTTAAAGTAAAGTGTTGGTATGCTTGATTTTGTAAGTTTTAACCCTTCACCTCATATATACGCGAAACAACGCACTTTCGACCCCCCCCCCCTTTTTTTAGGCCTGAAATAGTGAAAAAAAAATCTATTTGGGTTTGAGAAATGTTGCTTAAAAAGTGAGCACTTTTTCGGCGCCGCCGCCGTTTGGGGGGTTTGAAGGGGGGCGGAGTCCCCCTCATCGTAAAGAAAATTTTGGACTTGTGAGAGGCTATAAATGACCCCAGGTCGATCATGAGGTAACGTGTAACCAACGCTGAAAAGCCTTTGACTCTATCTCAATCCCTTGAGAAGTTGCAGCACTTTGAAATAAATTTTGTTGGAAAAAATCGAGGCAAAATAGTGATTTTTGGCAATTTTGAGATGTCCCCTCGTTGCCATGGTAACAGGAAATTTAAGACTGAGCATGTCGTTTCAAAGGCAATGGTCCAGTCGACATTTGTGCCAAGTTTGATTAGTATTGAAGCATTTTTCATAGTTTCATAGCAATTTGAACTTGTAACAGGAGGCTTTTCAGTGAAAACGGCCATTTTTCACAATATGCTCATGAGGGAAAGGGTTAAGAGTTGGATAATTCATCCATTTTTCATCTAGACCTATTTGGGGTTTTTTTATTCTTTTTAATCTAGCAAAGTTTAAGAGAATAGCTTTGCGCAAGTTTTAATTTTCCTCTTTTTTGCCCTTTTAAAAATGTTCTACTTAAATGTGTGAACTGTAAAGCCCGAGGTATTTAATGGAATCAGATTGAAGACAAAAATGGTGAATTACCAAGAATAATATTGGATCAAGAGCTTTTTAAAAAAGCAGTAAAGGTTTACGTTCGATTCCAAATAATGATAAAATCTTTAAAAAAGCATCTAGCTCTAGAAAATGTTGTATTCATGTTAAATAAAATGAAACATCTTGCTTGAAATGAAATTTTAAATATGGTATCATTTACTTGTCTTGTCTTATGTAGATAAGCACCAGTTAACGGTCTTGTGTTTCGTTTTGACAATCTCAGGACATTCCTATTTTGTAATGAATTTTTTAACAGATCTAATTTACATAGTTATTTTGTGAAATTGAAGAGCAAGGATAGTTTATAGAATACACCACATACATATGTTAACCTTAAATACTATTATAAATGTACAGTAGGCTATTATTATTACCAAGATATTTTAACATGCAATTGATTGTACAAATATTCTCCGTTGTTATTTTTAAAATTTTGTTTGCATATTTATCTTTGCACAGTGTCTTGTGATATACATATGTTGTATTTTATATCCTCACGAGTCATGAGACCTTGTCGAATTTGAATAATAAACTTATCAATCTCATCAATATCTGGGGGCAGATAATTACGTGAATTCAAGTATTCTGGATAAATGAACATGCTAATTTCGAACGTTTTCATATCATGCTTAACACCCTCGAGTCAGTAATTGCGGACTTATGCGTCAGATATATCATTGCCTTCAATCAAATCATAAATGAAAATAAATGCCACACCCAGGACTGTAATCCCTACTAATCGAGCACGGAAAAGCGATATATAGCTCCACATGAATTAACGACGTCCGCATGTCATTGACGTCAGTAGTGATAATTTGTTTTGACACAGCAATTAACGCGCCAAATCTAACGGTTAAATATTGAATTAGGAAGATGCGGGTACTGAAAGAAAATGCTAACAGAAACTCAGACGAGGGGTTGAAAGAGTTTACAAAAGAAGAAATAGCGTCATTGTTTCCCGCTACAGAACTGTTGCACAAAATTCACAACGACCATGTCTACACTTCGAAAGATTTCAAACAGAACGAGTAAGTCAACTTTTAATTTATTTGATACAAATGTTCATTCTGATAATCTTCTTATACGTTTGTTTGAACTTAAACTCACATATAGAAACAATTCAGACATTTATAAAATGATTTGGTTTTTTTTTAGTTCACATGAAATAGACGACTCATCAGATGATAACTCTTACCATGAAGACGATGTGCCTTCTCTAAACGCCGATTCTATTCAACAAGTATTTCAACGTATGGTTAACATGACGTCTTTGGATGTAATAAATGGCCAAACATATGAGGAAAACATACAAAAAACTAATACAGATTCACGTGACTTATCTTCTGCAAAAACAAAATCAACCATCAGGAAAGTGAAGTTTGTTGATGAATTACCAGGACCGTCTACAGGTAATAAAACTCAAAATCAAGACCTTGATAGTGAAAGTGGAAAGGTGGTTACAGTAGGATTCAAAGGGGGCGCAGGTGTTTCGAGGAATAAGAATGCTACAGCAGATAGTGATTTTTTAAGCAACAAAGCTAAGGATTGTCTAACAGAACTAACCAGGTTTCGTTCAAAAAAGCAGGGAAGAAAACGAAAGGGGAAAAGGACAAAAAAATGTGATGAAATCAAATCGGTCAGTAAAAATGAATGGAAAACGGTAAACCGATGTGCAGAAGTTGAGAGGGAATTAAACACGTTGATACAATATACAGCCGAGTTGCTCATTCGTCGCTGGGGAGAGTATCTGACGATGACCACTGAACAGATTTCTGTATACGAGATTGAAAATGCAAAGCAGCATAAAATGATCGAGGATGTCATCGATATGTTGGAAGATAAAGACAGATATGTGTGGCAACTTATTGATGATCTTAGATTTTTTTGAAGTAAAAAAAGACCGACATCTCATCATGCGCATAAATTCCAGCATTCGACTAGAGCTCCATTTTTAGGCATATTTTGCCTTGTCTTTTCAGGATAACATATTCAATTTCAATTGTAGATTATATGAAGATTTTTTTTTATGAGATTTTAAAATCTTACCAATATATTCAAATATCGAGCTCATATCGATTATTGATTGATAGCTTTACACCATCTATTTTATTTATATCATCTGATTAGTTGTCCGCAATATGTACAGTGAAAATCCATTTTACAAAGTTTGACATAATTGTACCTTTTGAAAAAGCTAAAATTTTGAAAAGGGGCTCAACCAAGAATTGACATAATATTCATTTTGTGATTGGTTCATATCTTAATGGTGAACAAGTACATGTAAATATATCTCGGTTAATACATGTGTGATAATTTTCATTAACGGTTTTCAGAGCGTTTATTTCATTGGCCTTGCCGTGTTCCTATGTCCATAACAAAGAATTTTACACGTGCTTCGGTTGAAAAAAAAAATTAATGCAAATTTTGTAAAAAAAACAAAACAAAAAAGAACAACAACAAAAAAACAACAACAAAAAAAACCAACAGTTGCATTAATGTTACAATGTTGTCGATTTTATGGATAACTTTCATTTATGATGTGGTTTCCGTTTACAATGATGGTGAACAATTCCACCTTTTAAGTTTAATAGATACTTGGTTAAAAGATGTTGACAGTGGAAAAATTATCGGGACTGTATTCTTAGACTTAAAGAAAGCCTTTGATTTGGTTGACCATGAAATACTTTGTTTGTAAAAAACTTAACGGAAAAATTGCCTTATTGAAAAAAATATCGTATTTTTTGCACTTTGATATGAAATTATTGTTTTACAATGCATATATATTGCCCATTATGGACTATTGTTGTATTATATGGGGTAAAGGAAACACAAACTACATAAATAATGTTTGTAAATTACAAAAACGAATTTCTAAAATCATTTTACAGCAACCACAAAGATCTCCGTCAATAAATCTATTCGAAACTCTTAACTGGTTACCGTTCCTTGACAGATGTAAATACCACACGGCGGTGCTTGTTTTTAAAACTTTAAATAACATGGCACCGACTTATGACAGAACTGATGACTTTATCCGACAACAAAATATATAACTTAAGATCTAGGTCACGAAAAGATATTGTATTATGGACAAGACCTAAAACAAATGTACATGTATAGGTTTAATTCAATATCAATTTCAACATGTAGTAATTTTCTCGTACTCCTGTTACTTAGAAAAATTGAAAATTCCCGCTGGTGGCCATAACTTCATATTACTAATATTAAGAAACATGATCATTGTCATTGTCAAATTATTTTCAAAAATGCTGATTTAATTGAACTTAAAGACCAGTCAAGCTAAGAAAATTATGGTCATAATATGGAACGCCTGGACTGTCTTATGTTAAGAATAAATGATATACCTGGTTAAATGTCTTTCTGTTGAGTCCGAGATACAAAATGCTGGGTGGAAATCCTAATGTGCTCAGTTATTGAAGTACTATGTTGTGTGCTGACTGTATTTTATTCAGTCAAGTCAATGTATTGTCGGGTGCATTAGTCGTTCTGTTCAGTTCTTAAAACAAACAGGCTTGTTGTAACACAATTATGTTGAGTTAAAAAGATATGTTGTAGGGTGTTACAGTTATTATGTTCGGTTATAATGATATATTGTTTGGTGCTCTTCTCATCATGTTCAACCATGAAAATAAACAGTTGAGTGGTACTATCATTTTGTTTGGCTGAGGCAGTGTATTATTGGGTGATACTTTTATTATTTTCAGTTGCAATGACATGCTGTTGGGTGCTTTATTACTTCTGTTCAGTCGTGAAATAGAACTGTTAAATGGTACAATCATTATCTTAAATGGTACTATCATTATCTTGTGTGCTGATTATATCTTCTTCAGTCAAGTCAATGCGTTGTTCAGTGCAAAGGTCGTTATGTTCAGTGGTTTTTTGGTACTATCATTATGTTCAGTTCAGATGATATACAGTTCGGTGCAGAGGTCATTATGTTCAATAGTGAACACAAACTGTTGTGTGATACCACAATTATGTTGGGTTCATTCGGATATTTTCGGGCAAAAGATGGGAGCGACTAATTTCCATAGGTCACGTCGAGGCTAATGACCACTAAATTGCCAAAACAATTTTCTTCCCCGTAAATATCATCGGGGGCTTAAGAACGTTAATTGGACTTTTAAATACCCAATGGGTATTTTATTTAGTTAATCATAATGGGTACAGTATAAAAAACTTAAAATATGGGTAAGGGTAGCCTGTTAAAGTCACATATGACCACTGTAAATAAAACTTAAGATTGATCTGTTTGATAACCTATAAGAGTCACAAATGGACACAGCAAACGAAATTTAAAATATAAAACATCATATACAAGTATGGGAACCCTATTTGAATCACACATGGCCACAGTATATGGAGCATATAAGTAAGTGTAGCCTATTAAAGTCGAATATGGCCACAGCATATGCAACTTAAAATATATGTGTTGGTCACCCATTTGAGTCACACATAACCACAATAAATGGAACATAATTTATCTAAGTAAGGGAAACCTATTTGAGTCACACATGGCCAGTATATGGAACATTAAATATAAGTAAGGATAGCGCAATAAAGTCACACATACCCACAATATAAAGAACATTCTATATAAGTAAGGATAACCTTATTGAGTCACACTAGGCCAAAATATATGGAACATTATGTTTAAAGGGACTCCACTGAGGTTTTTTGACATGATGGGACTGGAAATAATTTTTTGAGATTATTACTCCATTTGATGTAGATCTATACTAATAACTTATGTGCACAATTATAGATCATAAGCTTGCTCAGTTTTTCCAGAATAATTATTATAATAGTGAAAAATGACCCAAAATTGAAAAGCGTTTAACCGCTTTTCACTCAAATCGGACTGAGAATAGCACAAACATATGATTTTCAATGTATTTCTTCTATATTTCTTGGTTATATTTTATTAATATTTATGTTTTAAGTGCTCATGTTTATCTATGTGAAAAAATGAAACTTCATGTTTCTAGGCTTATAAACCTCAGTTGAGTTCCTTTAAGTAAGGGAAATCTATATGAGTCACATATGACTAAAGTATATGGAACATTTTATATAAATGTCTGTTATTTGTATTATTTGTATTTGTACTTATATAGAGTTTTCTTTATACTTGGCCATGTTTGACTTTATTAGGCTACCCTTACTTATATATAATGTTCCATTTACTGTGGTCATGTATGTCTCAAATGGGGTTTCCATACTTATATTTAACGTTCATATACTGTGGCCGTGTGTGTCTCAAATAGGTTTGCCTTACTTGTATATTATGTTTCATATTTTAAATTTCGTTTGATATGTCGACTTGTGAGTCTAAAAAGTTACCAACACATATATTTCAAGTTTTATTTACGGTGGTCATGTGTGACTTGAACAGGCTACCCTTACCCATATTTTAAGTTTATAAACTGTGCCCATTATGACTGTAAAAGTATAGTACAGTCATAAATTAACTTGATAAAATACCCATTGGGTATTAAATATGCCATACGATCTGTCCAATTTATGGAAATAACGTTTTTAAGCTCCCGATGGTATTTACGGGGAAGAAAATTGTTTTGGCAATTTAGTGGTCATAAGCCTCGACGTGACCTATGGATATTAGGTGCCCCCGCCCGCCATCTTGTTTAGCGCGAAGATATCCGAATGAAACCAACATAATTGTTTGACCACTCAGCGCATTGTCAAATGACTTGTGCACCGAACAGTATATCATCTGAACTGAACATAATGACGGTATCACACCACAGTTTGTCTTCACTACTGAACATAATGACCTCTGCACCATACAGGATATCATCTGAACTGAACATAATGATAGTATCACACAACAGTTTGTGTTCACTACTGAACATAATGACTTCTGCACCGAACAGTATATATCATCTGAATTGAACATAATGACGGTATCACACAACAGTTTGTGTTCACTACTGAACATAATGACTTCTGCACCGAACAGTATATCATCTCAACTTAACATAATGACGGTATCACACAACAGTTTGTCTTCACTACTGAACATAATGACCTCTGTACCGAACAGTACATCATCTGAACTGAACAAAATGACCTCTGCACCGAACAGTATATCATCTGAACTGAACATAATGACGGTATCACACAACAGTTTGTGTTCACTACTGAATATAATGACCTCTGCACCGAACAGTATATCATCTGAACTGAACATAATAACGGTATCACACAACATTTTGTGTTCACTACTGAACATAATGACCTCTGCACCAAACAGTATATCATCTGAACTGAACATAATAACGGTATCACACAACATTTTGTGTTCACTACTCAACAGAATGACCTCTGCACCGAACAGTATATCATCTGAACTGAACATAATGATAGTACTATTCAAGAGTTCTATTTCACGACTGAACAGTCTGAATAAAGCACCCAACAGCATGTCATTGCAACTGAAAATAATAAAAGTATCACCCAATAATACACTGCCTCAGCCAAACGAAATGATAGTACCACTCAACTGTTGATTTTCATGGTTGAACATGATGAGAAGAGCTATTTTAACCGAACATAACAACTGTCACACCCTACAACATATCTTTTTAGCTCAACATAATTGTGTTACCACATGCCTGTTTGATTTAAGAACTGAACAGAACGACTAATGCACCCGACAATACATTGACTTGACTGAATAAAATGTAATCAGCACACAACATTACACTTCAATAACTGAGCGCATTTGGATTTCCACCCAGTATATTGGGATTTTGACCCAGCATATTATATCTCGGACTCAACAGAATGGCATTTAACCATGTATATCAGTCATTCTACACATAAGACAGTCCAGGCGTTCCATATCATAATAATATTGTGACAAATCGTTGTTTAACTGTGGCAAATCATTATTTCATTGCTGCAAATCCTTATGTGGTGAATCGTTATTGTGGCGAATCGTTACTTATTTGTTAACATTCTTCCTCTACATTATATACAATTTTGAATAACTTACATTACAAGTACAAATGTTGCTGCAATGCAGCAATTGAGAAGCTCCGCGCAAAAAAAAATGTGCTCATTACAGATACCTTACAAAATCATTCCTACGCACAGGTCATGTTATATTCAGATTAAGTACTATTGTAGATTTTTTCCGAATGTTTTGTAAACCATTTTTTGCATAATTATACTTATCTTATGCACTGTCCATAATTAAAAAGAGGGGAAAGATATTTAATATAAAAATGCTTTCACTGATGCCTACCTGGTAAGGAAAGTAATTCCATTGAATACAA